GACGTCTCCGCCATGCCGATCATTGGCTCCACCTGGTGCAGGGAGCTCGTCTCGTCGATGATGCCCAGACAGGTGATCCGCTCGCCCGGGATCCAGCTCGGCAAGTCCTTGCAGTCCATGCTCACGTACTTCGAAGGGAGATGGGTCTCCGCTGGTGTACTGTGTCGAGCGACCTTGGGGCACTTCATGCCCTCGCATTCTGGACAATAAAAATCATTGGCCGCCTTGATCGCCTGCTCCGTAGCGCGTGCGTGTCGCAGATGTCTTATCAGCACGTTGTTCTTGCAGTGGCCGAGTTGCACATGCAACTTCCTGAGGCTGCTCTCTATCGAGCTGTGAGGCCGACGTAGTACATCGCGTGTTTCATCTGCGTCCTCTTCTTCTCCCTGCACTGCCTTGCACGCAGCCTCCGAGCTGAGCGCCTCCACCTGACACTGTCGTCGCATGCCCCGCACGATCGCCTCTACCAACCTCCTGGGGTACCGTTGGCTGAACACCGTGCGCTTGATCCCACACTTCAGCATGCCTTCTGTATGTTGATGCTCGTGTCCTCCTCCACACCGCTGGTGAACTGCCTTCGCGACCTCCGGCGCAGACGTCACGAACTCCCAGCTCTTGGGCATCAACTTCAGGGTGTCTGGGCACCTCAGTCCGAACTCGCAGCCGCTCGCTATGCCCACGTACACGCCTCGGGTCTGCAGGAGCTGCTTCATCACCGGCACCTGGAGGCTCGCGCACCTCGGGGGGGTCTCATAGACAAAATGCCTGCCCCGCTCCATCTGGTAGATCGCGACCTCCACGACCACGTGTACCAAATTCACCGACCACTTCACATCTCTGAGGTGCTGTGCCAGATCCTTCCGGCGATCCAAAGGCATGCACTGCTGCATGATCGACAGCTTCCGGCATGGAGGGCACATGTGCACGAAGTACGGCTCGTCCTCGATGATGTGCTGCCACATGGCGTTGTAGTCGTCGTCCTTGTCCACATCCCAGCCGTGCACCTTGTCGAGACTCTGACCTTCCAAGAACCCGCACCGCGCCGCTACTGGCACGATACGAGGTGGGGAGAACAGCTCGGTCACCATTCTCCTGGCCTGTGGGCTCCGACCCGGCCCTACTGAAAAATCCGTGCGGGTGGACTCCCCACGTCCCGCACGCGCACTGATGACGTGTGCGCCTGCCTCTTCACCTTCTTTTCCCGGTTCAGGAAATCGATCTCATAGTGGCCTGCCACCGTCTCGCTCAAGGGAATCGTGAGGCCAAGGCGCTTCAGGTACATCGAGTCCGTCTCCAGGTCCAGGGCCGCGCCCAGAGCCTTCATGTCTGGCTTGCTCATCAGGAAACCTGCAGAGCCCGGGACCACGTATACCACGAACGTCACGATGAAGTTCTTGATCTCCCAGTCCAGCTCCACAGCACCGACCGACTCCTGCACGCTGTTGTCGAACCCGCGAAACCGCATCGGCTTGGCGTCCTTCAACCACCTCGCCTGCTTGCCTGTCGCCGCCTCGTGCTTGGTCAACGTCTCCTCGCCGATCAGGGACTTGCAGCACCCCGTGTCTGGCACAGAACAGCCGTCGGCGCGAGTCACTCCCAGGACCGTCCCCTCCTCGGCGGCCCTCTTCTCGACCGACGCGTACTCGTCCTCCTGCTGCTCCTTCATCTCGTGCGCCAGCCGCTTCCAGCGCTCCTGCTGGATGAGCCTCGCCAGCACATTGTCCTCATGGACCTGCTGTTGATCTCGTAGTCCAAGTCCCGGTCGGTGCCCTCGTCGTCCTGCGCAGTTCCCAGTACTGCCTGGACTCGTGCTTCTCCCTGGTCCTCCTCGTCCATCGGCTCGACGAACACCATCTGCGAGCTGTGGGCCGGGAGGGGCTCCTTGCAGTCCCTGCTGAAATGGCCGATCTTCTTACACCGAAAACACTTCACCCTACGGCCGAGCTTGTCGAGGTCGTGCCGAGTCGGTCCACCATGACCTCCTTGTCCTGGTCGGGGGTTCCACTGAGGCCTGAGCCCGCGGTCCAACTTCTCCTTGGTCATAGCCGTGCGTGTCTGCTTCCACGTCGCCAGGATCTCCACCGCGTCCGCCTCGTCGATCGGCTCCGCCGCCTGGACGATCGCGTCGATCTCCTCTGTGATGTCGTCCTCCACGCTCTCCTCCTGGTAGGGCTCCGGCGGCGGGCCGAGCTCGGTGTCCCCGTGCTCCTCCTCCACCGCGAACGCCATCTGCGTGAGCCTCTCCGGTGGAACCCCTGGGAACGCCGTCCTGATCGCCGTGCACACCTCCTCCACGTTCCAGCTCCGATGGGTCGCCGACATCACCGTCGCACGACCAAAGGGTCCCAGCCGAGCACCGCGCAGAATCAGGTAGCCTCTGGCGACCGACGGCAGGTCCACGCCTTCCTTGGCCAGCCGCGCGTACACCAGCTGTGCGCGCCCGGTGTAGGCCTCCGTCGTCTCCTGCTTCTGGATGCGCAGGCTGAAGCCCTCCTCCATCGCTTCTCCGAGACGATCCGCTGCCACCTTCTCAGGAAACCGCTCGTCTAATTTGTCGAACACCACCTCCTCACCGTTGTCCACGTTGATGTCCGCCAAGTCCACGTTCTCCACTGCCAGGGCCGCCTGTCCATCCAGGAGCGTGTACAACCATGGGCCCAGAGCCTCTGCTGGGGTGCCCCTAGCCTTCTGGACCACAATCGCCGCCCTCGCCCAACGCTTCCACACTTTGTAGGCAGCAGCTCCATCATTGCCGTCTCCACTGAACCGCTTCACGCTGGCGGCTCCTCCTCCTTGGTCTGCCATCGTCACCGTGTGACGGGCTCCTGCCCGGTCACGTGCTCCTCACTTCTCGCTGCTGTCTGGCTCAAGCCACTGCGAATCCGTCCTGGGTCGCGAGAGGAGTCGAGCTCGAGAGGACCAGAGGATGATGCTCTATCTTGCCTCCTGCTGATAGCGGCTGAGGGCGCCCGGGCGTCCGCGCGGAAAGGGGCCTATCGAACCATAACAGTGGCTACGGCAACAGACGGGCCCGCAAGGGCTCAGGCTGGGGAGGGGTCTCTAGAGGGGCCCTCAGGGGTCCGTGTTCGCAGAACCGGTCAAAAAACGGCGTCGGAACCGGCAAAAAAACGGCAGAACGTAACCGGTAAAAAAACGGCCCTGTCGTTTCCAGGGCCCACTAAGGGTCCTCCGCCTCCAGCCCGACAGGGGTTGCGGCGTCGACAAGACCCGCTGATTCCGAGGTGCGCCGCCGGCCCACGCCTGCCCGCCAGGCGTTCGCATGATGGGCGCGTGCTTCCCACCACCACCACCACGAGTTGGAGGGGGGGCCCTCCTCCTCCTCCTCCTCCTCCTCCTCCTCCTCCTCCACCTCCTCTTCCTCCTTCCCCCCTCCTTCCCCCCTCCCACTTATAGTGGTGGTGGTGGAAAACAGGCTCATCATTCGCAGACCTGCCAGATGCAATCAAGAAGGAGCAGGCCTGGCCCTGCCAGTTGCTCCAGGAACATCGGCACGCTGGAGCCCCAGACGGCAGGCGACAGGGCGTTGGCGCTCGTCGCCCGACCGATCCGCTGCTGGCAGATACTGACGAGGCACTGCGGGCCCGCGCGGGAGCTGCGAGGCACTGGGGCTCGGCGCTCCAGGGCTCGCCGTGACTCCGCGAGGCGCTGGCCTCAGGTCGGGCATGTCCTCCTACAGGCGGCTTTTGGAGGAAACTATACCCGAACGTAATAGCCAAACTTCAGCCAAACTACATCCGCAGGCAATCAATAGCCAAACTATAGCCAAGTAGTAGCCAAACTATAGCCAAGTATATCCTCCGCAAGCAATCAATAGCCAAATTATGTCCGAAAGTGATCACAGATGGTGATGCTTCCCGCGCGCCGCCAAGGCGGCGTGGCTGACCGTGCAGCGGCCGCCTCGGGCGCGCTGCACCGTGCGCGGACCGCCTCAACGCCGTCATCGAGGCCAGACCCGCCCCCTCCGCCCTGCCGTCCTTCCGGCCGATGGCTGCAGTCACTGATCGAGCACGGACGCCAGCCAGTCCCAGGCCACCGTAGCACCACACCCATCTGAGTGAGAGCTCGGCTGCCGATCGGATCTGCCCCAGACTTGTCTTCCCACGCCCGATCTACAGCACAAAGAGCACTCCCGTAGACCTGCAGACGCTCTTCGCATTCTTTGTGGCCGCGACGATCATGTCAATGTCAAGTCGGGCCTGTCCCCCTGCAGGGGGATTTTCGACGAAACAAAAAATACCACTAACAATAATCAAGCAATAATCCAAAACTAGTCTGGGGACTGTTTCTTGAGCATGTTTTTATATCTGTTCGGGGTATCTGTTGAAAATCCCCCAATAGGGGGACACGCCCGACACAATGTCAATGTTGGGGTGCCAAATTATTGTAAACTCGTCGATGTCCTACTCGAGCCACGCCTCCTCCCTCCCCGGACCCCCGACGTCATGATGTTTTTCTCACTACGACGAGCCTCAAGAAGACCCTTAGAGAGAGAGGGAGAGAGAGAGAGAGAGATTTTCTCATTTTTCTCTGAACGAGACCCTGGACCCGCTTTTCATCCTGAGTCGTTTTCTGACTGCCCTGAGGCAAGGGCCCCCAGAGGCCACAAGCATCGACACCCAGACATGAGACGTCCTGACTGTTTCGATACGGCGTCCCTGGAAAACCCGACCATTTCCCCGGGACCGGTTTTTCATCCTGAGCCGATTTTTGATGGTCCCGAGGCCCGGCGAGGGCCCTCCGAGGCTGAAAATGGCCAGCAACCTCCCGTCCTGCTTTGTTTTGCGACGCGATCATGTCTGGGCACACCTCCCCGCCATGACTTTCAGTCGGGCCTGTCCCCCTACAAGGGGACCTTGGACGAAAAATAACAGATAGCCAAAACATACACCAAAATCAGCAACAAATGCCAAAAACCATTGTCCTCAGACAATTTTGGAACTACTTTTGAATTTTCCTCCTGCAGAGGGACAGGCCCGCCTTTAACCATGACTTTTCCATGACTCGACGGGGTCTGGGCCCCCGGCCTTGGCCCCCGGGCTGCCCGGGCCCCGGTGCGCCGCGCCCGGGGTCGGGCTCCTCGGGCGATGGGCGGGCAGCCGGGCGGCCGGGCGGCGAGGCTCCGGCCGAGCCGTGCGGACCGATCTGCTGATCGAGCTCTCGTCCTCCTTCTCCTCCGCCTCCTCCGCCTCCGCCTCCGCCTCCGCCGCCTCCGCCTCCATTCCGTTTTCCTTATCAACAATTTCTCCCCGTCGCACCCCGAGGAGGGTTTCAGGGCGGTCCGGGCGTTTCGCGTGACTCCCTCACCACTTACGACTCTGAAGCTCAAAAGTTGCCAACATCTTCACAGATGCAGGGCGGGTCGTCTTCAAAATGTGGCTCTCGCCATAACGACGCGCACATTCGTTTGAAAAAAATAGCCAGAGCTCCACGGATTCAGGGCGGCTCCTTTTCAAAATGTTGCTCTCGCCTCAGCGCCGCGCACATTCGTTTTTAACATGCGCAAGAGTTTCACGGATTGAAAGCGGCTCCTTTTCAAAATGTGGCTCAAGCCTTAGCGCCGCGCACATTCGTTTGTAAAACCTGCGTACCAGAAATGGTGTGTTGAAAGGAAGCAGGGTTATGCGGGTGCAACAGTTACGCTGATGCGCGGTGTTCAAATCCCAAGAATGGCCTTCTGGCACGATTCAGGATCGTCAAGCCGCAACAATCAGGTTGTCCCGTGGCGTTGGAATCTGGAGAAAAAATGTTTTGGTTTGCTGCAGGGACCTCAAACGGCTGTCTTCTAACGAGGCAGTTCCCTCAATAAGGATGAACCGTTGTAGGAGCCTATGAAGAAGGAAATTAGAGGAGGGGTTATTCCAACATCGTTGATGACTCCTGGGTTTACACTGGTCCTGCTCCTCCTTCTCCTCCTCTTCCCCCTCCCCCTCCTGTTTGTCCTCATTCTCCTCCTGTCCGTCTAATCATCCTAATACTCCTACTAATCCTTCTCCTCCTCCTCCTCCTCCTCCTCCTCCTCCTCCTCCCTTTCCTCCTCGTCCTCGTCCTCGTCCTCGTCCTCGTCCTCGCCCTCGTCCTGGTCATCCTCCTTCTCCTCCTCCTCCTCCCTAGCTGGACGTCCTGGAGGGGGCAGGAGGGGAGAGGTCAGGGGCGAAGGAAGGACGTGCACGTGCATGGGCCCGCTCTGGTCTCGAGAGCACGCGCTGCGCGAGCGTTCGTAAGGCGAGGCGGCGGTCGCTGGCGGATTGGGGGGCCGTGTGCATGCAAGTGGTTGGGCGCGTACGTCTTGGGAGGGCTCCCTGAGACGGAGGTCGGAGGTCAGGAGGGGCAGGCTCCGCGCGGCGAGGCGCCGGTCGACGTGTACTCATCGGGTCCTGCTCGTGGGGCTTGCCGTTCTGGTGGGGGCAAGATGGAGGAGGGAGGGCGGACCATCACCTCCCCGCGTTGCGAACAGAAAACTCCACGTGAGGCCTTTGGAAGTTGTGGCCTCCCGAGGCCACTGCTGTGCCAAAGGGCCGCTACATAACTGCTCGGGCTGAAACACTGGTCCCAGGAAGGGGCTCCAGATCTCCGGGGGGTTCGACACTGTGAGCAAATCACGACGTTCGATATCTGGGGAGGTCAAAAGGGCGGGATCGGAGGTGAGTGGAGGGAGAGGGGCGGCGGAAGGAGGGGGAGGGAGGCGGAGGTAGGAGGGTGGGGCGTGTCCCTCAGGGCGTGTCGACTCTTCGCTAACGGACTTGTGGGGGTCGAGCCAGAGAAGCCCAGGTATATGCCGATAAATCCCAGTAGTCCCAAGCAAATCTTGCCACCTGCAGGTGCATTTCGGTCGGGCACGTCCTCCTACAAGCGGATCTTGGACGAAGAATGAAAAAGAGCAAACCGAGCAAATCTAGAAATACCCCACTAAAATCCCACCAGCCCTCTGGGCGTCGGCGGTTTAGGGCGTTTCCTCTTCCACCCCTCCCTCTTCCCCTTCGGGGAGGGGTTTACCCCTCCCCCTACCCCCTCCCCACTGACCTGGACAGGAGGGGCGGGGAGCGGTCAGAGCGTCCAAAACGGCCTCGGCGAGGAAGCCAAAATCATTGATTCTACTATGGTTTGGGCCCCATTTTGGCCTTCTGAGGGGGCAGCGCTAATTAACGCTCCCCTCTTCTTTGATCGATTTCCTCCACGATGGTCGCAAGAGGCCCCCAGGATGCCCCAAGAGGCCGCAGGATGGCCCCAAGATGGCCCCAAGAGGCCCCCCAAGAGGCCCCCAGGAGGCCCCCAAGAGACCCCCAAGAGGCCCCCAAAGGCCCCAAGATGGCCCCAAGAGGCCCCAAGAGGCCCCCAGGAGGCCCCAAAGAGGATCCCGAACGGCCCACAGAGGCCCCCCCGAGGCACCCAAGACGCCGAAAAGCCCCTCAGGACGACCCTCTCGCCTGGGCGTCGTTTCTGGACGGGCTGGTGGGGATACGCGAAGCGTCTAGAATATTCCCAACAATCGTCCCCATCATACTTCCTACTACGTCTGAGCAGTCCTCCAGTGGAGGGCCAGCCCGAGGCGACGGGACGGCAGGAGTCGTGAGGCCCTCAGGAGAGCGTGGCGGGGCGAGGGCGCGCGGGGCTTGCCGGGGCGAGGGCGCCCCCGCCCCCTCCTGCGGGCCCAGGCGGAGACAGGGAGACAAAAGCATGCCCGTCGCGATCGGCGCGCGCCACGCTCCGCAAAAGCCCTCCTGCTCCTCCCCCCCCCCCTCCACCGACCTCCAACCTCCGCGCCTTCTGCGCGGCGGGTGCGGGACAAGGTGGGAGGAGGAGGCCCCTTTCCGCCACCGCCACCGCCACCACCGCCTCCTCATCTCCCTCGTCTTGCCCTTATTCCTCCTCCTCCTCCTCCTCCTCCTCCTCCTCCTCCTCCTCCTCCTCTCCCTCCTCCTCTCCCCCCTCCTCCTGTATCTCCCTGTCCTCCTCCTCGTCCTTCTTCTCCGCCTCCCCCTCCCCCTCCTCCTCCTCCTCCTCCTCATCCTCCTCCTCCTCGGTCCCTCCCTCCATACAGCAATTCCTCCATTCCCCACCTCTCCTGAACCCATTTCCCCCCCCTTCCTCCTCCTCCTCCTCCTCCTCCTCCTCCTCCTCCTCCTCCTCCTCCTCCTCGTCCTCCTCCTCCTCCTTCTCCTGCTCTGCTCCTCCTCCTCCTCCTCCTCCTCCTCCTCCTCCTCCCTCCCCCCATCCAGCAATTCCTCCTTCCCCCCACCTCTCCTGAACCCATCTCGCCCCCTTCCGTCTCCTCCTCCTTCTTCTCCTCATCCTCCCCCTCCTCCTCCTCATCATCTCTCCCTCTGGCCTCCCCCTCCTCTCCCCCCTCCGCTTCCCCTTGTGCCGCCCTCTCGCCCGCCCCACCCCGCCCCTCCCCCCATCCCTCCACGTTCCGCCTGCTCGCGTTCCCCCCCCCTCCCGAGGGAGGGCAGGCGGGGAGGGGGCGCGCGAAAAGCTCCTGGCGCCCGGAGGGATCTCGAAGTCCACGCCTTCCCTCACCGTCGGGATGTCGGAGTCCTCCTTTGGGGGGGGAGGGGGGGGATGGGAGCGGAGGCGGCGGAGCTCGAGTGGGGGCGGCTGAAGGGGGAGGGGGCGGGAATCGAGGGCGCAGGAAGAGGAGGAGGAGGAGGAGGAGGAGGAGGAGGAGGAGGAGGAGGGGAGGCGGAGGAGGAGGAGGAGGTGGAGGAGGAGGAGGAGGACGGAGGAGGACGGAGGAGGTGGAGGAGGAGGAAAGGAGGAGGAGGAACAGGAGAAGGAGGAGGAGGAGAAGGAAGAGGATGAGGATGAGGAAGAGGAAGAGGAAGAGGAAGAGGATGATGATGATGATGATGATGATGATGATGATGAGGAGGAGGAGGAGGAGGAGGAGGAGGAGGAGGAGGAGGACGGAGGAGGAGGAGAGGGTGTTCCCTGAGCGCTGGGATTTTGCTCGGCCGAGCCCCGTCGCGCACGCCCGTTCGTGCCGCGTCTCGGGCCTGCAATTGCTGCCGTCCTCGCGCTGTCTGCCACGGCGCGGCTTGGGGAGGGCGCTGCTCATCGCAGGGCTCGGCAAAAAAAGGTCGGAGGCGAGGACTCTGGTCAGGCTGCACTGGGCGGACATGAAGCTCGCGACTCGCCACTCGGATCCAGACCCTGACGCTAGCAACGTCTTCGGCATGCGAGGATGGATTCCGACTTGGGACTGCCAACGTTGTGGGAGATAAGTGAAGCATCGCGTTCCGTGCCTCTGGGGTCAAACGTAGCACGACGGAGTGCCCCCCATCCGTGCAAGGGGGAGGATGCGGGGGCACACGTCGTGGCGACAAGGAGGACACGGAGGAGGATGAGGAAGAGGAGGGAGGGAGGAGGGAGGGAGGAGGAGGGAGAAGGAAAACGAGGAGGGAGGAGGAGAAAAGGAGGAGGGAGGAGGAGGAGGAGGAGGGAGGAGGAGAAAGGAGGAGGGAGGAGGAGAAAGGAGGAGGGAGGAGGAGGAGGAGGAGGAGGAGGAGGAGGAGGAGGAGGAAGGGTTCGACAAGGGTGGTGGCAGGGGCAATGCAGGGGCAATCGTCACTCACGCCAGAGACCCCCGAGCAGATCCAGGAGTACAGACAACGACCTGAGGGCATATGTGACATACATTCCACCACAGATCAAGGAGGAACCTCAGTTGGAGCACTGCTACAAACCGCCACCAGAGGCCAGCTCAGAACAGCACCAGTACATGATGGAGCTACGTCGCCAGTTGAAAGGTCATGCCGTGCTGGCTCTCACGGTCCCAAGGGCCGACGAGCACGCGCTGGCGGACATGCACGACAGAAAGATCGCGGTTGACACGTGTATGGTGCAGTGAATGATGCCGCTTCAGCAACAGGCCAACGAGTACCAGGCCAAGCCCGACGCTGCGCTCGAGAGATCGGAAAACACGCAGAATCGGATCAAAGAGCTCGAGGCCACAGACACCGACATCAACAAAGAGATCGCTCAGTATCAGGCGTGCCTCAAGGAGATCAAGGAGATACAAGAGGAAGAGCGCGCTGCAGACGGCAACCTTCACCAACAGCCTGGTGGGTTTGGCGGCTTGCAGCAGCAGCCCGCGCAGCAGTTACCTCGCCAACGTGGCCCGCATGCGCAACCTCACCAGCTAGACGCGATGATCGAGTTAAGGGGCTTGTTAGCTGGTGTGGCGAATCGGCAGCATGAGTCAGAGAGGATCTCGGGGAAAGTGGCCCAGCGCATCCAGATGAACCTCGTGCAGCAGGGGCAACAGGTGCAGCCCCGGGGACAGCCGACTGCGGGCGATGGGCTCGGTGGGCAACCTGGAGCGCCGCCCGCGGCGCCGCCGACGGGCCCACCACCACCCCTGCCGACTGGAGATTAAGGCCATCATCCACGCCTTGGCAGCGGAGAGCACAGGGCCCTTGTTCGATCGGGGGGCGGTGGAGAAGGACCCCCTGGACCGTCGGCGCCTGCTCCGACGCGCGCTCCGATGGCACCCATCACGGGCGCAGACGCACCCGTGCCAGCTGCGCCGAAGGCCTCGTCGGTCAGGTGCGGCAGGTCCCCGCTTCACTCGCCGCTGCCCAAGACGCAAAAGGCCCCGGCCAAGGTAGACCTGCACACCATGAATGAAGAGATCAAGATGGAGATGCCCCCCGAGGCAAGCGGTCTCCAGGCCTTGGGCTAGCTCTCGCCCACGCAGCCGTTGACGCCCTTTGAACACGTGCCTGGTCCAGCTGTCAGCCTCACGGGGGACGTCGCACACGTGCCAGAGTAGTCGCAGGACAAGCTCACGCCCCAGGAGAGCAAGATGGGCGTTGCCAAGAGCCACAGAGCGCATGGGGATTCATGAGAATGGAGCAGCCCGAAGCTTCGATAACCTCCATGAAAGACGGCAAGACATGGGATGTCGAAGGTCCGGTCGCGCGAGGGCATTCGTGATTGATGAGCCGCCAGCTTCCTTGGACGTTGGCGATACTCCCGAGCAGTCCACGTTAAAGCCCTGTGCGGGCTCACTTTCGGTTGGACTGTAAGTTGTCAAGACGTTGAGTTTGACCAGGGCCTTCGTGTCAGATGCATTGCGCGCTTCAGTGGCCAACGACATACGAGTTTTCGGCTCGTTGCCTTTCGACGCTAGCAACCCGCAGTCGCGCGAGCCCATCGACGCAATTAAGGGGAACCTTCCGCCCGAAGCTGCGGGGCACAGAAGCGGGAGGTAAGCAACTCATCAGTTGCAAATACTTGTGTACAACCATCGGCTCGGTCTCGAAGCCGAAGCTGTGGCCGCGACCTCCTTTCCTGCCCTCGCTGGGCATGCCCGCGATGCCCTCGCGGCCTCGGCACATTCACCACATAGCTGTTGCGAGTCCCCCGCGCACCCTGAGGCAGAGCATCCAACGGCCAACAGTGCTGCACCAATGTTCATTGGCGCAAAGCCCAGAGGGAGTTTCCCTGAAGAGAAGGCAAACCCAAGTGGCGAATATTCGCCGCTCCCCACTGCCATGGCCTCTGGGTGGCGAGAGGCTGGCGAGAGTAGCGTTTCGAATGACTGCATGGCTTGGTCTAGCAAGCTGGCGGGCGTGACCAAGGCACTCCAACTTCCTGCGCATCCGACGTTGTGGGGGCTCGCGCGGGCCACCAGGCCCCCTCCGTGGCACGTGAAAGTTAGGATGGATGAGTTAGAGCCCCCTGCGAGAATTGCGCAAGGTACGTGCCCCCCCCCCCCCCCCCCCCCCCCCCCCCCCCCCCCCCCCGAAAAAAAAAAAAGAAAAAAAATGAACGCCAGCGGCTAGCATAGCTTACTTACTACACCAACGCGTCCCACTAGAGCGGGTTGGGGTGTGACGGTTGTCGTGTTGCTGCGTGGGCGGTATTGCGCATTCGCAGTGACGTTCAGGGGAGCGACGCCTTCGCGGGTCTTTGGACATCAACCTGGCAAGAAAGCTGCCAGATATTAGCTCATGGGGGCGACGCTTGACAGCGCGGATGCGGAGCTGGCCGTCGTTCTCTGGGCACGCACTGCATGTTTGTGCGATATGGAACGAACGTGCGGTCAGGTAATTGAGTTCTGGTCTGGTTCGCAGCCGGCCATTGGCATTGCGATGGATGAAGCAGCCCCTAGGTGCGAGGGCAAGTTGGCCAGGCTAGCCAACATTTTTCCATTTGGCGCGGCAGAGATGCCCACTCCGGATATTCCACAGTCAGAGCCACCCCTTTCACCAGTACAACGTCCTTGCTGGCAACATTGCCCACTGCCCCAAAAGCTGCCCACGAACAAAATGAGCGACCATGGTTCAACGAGTCGATACCTGTGATGGCATCATAATTTGGGCAGAGAGTGAGTGGGGGCTGCCTCCCTTCAAGGCGGAGAGCACAGATCTTCCAGAAGTACTGCAGGGGGTACTTAACTACGTTGACACCGCGCAGCGTGCCTTCCCGCAGGACTGCCCCAAGGTGGGTGGGACAGAGGAAGCCTGGCACGAAGGTCAGCTGCGCGTCGCGCAGTTCAACGCCAAGCCTGTGCGTTGTAGGGCGTCAGCAGGGACGACGGGCAAACGACGCCACATGCGCGCGCAGATTTTGACAACGCAGTTTGCCGACGAGAAGCAGCATCTCATATGCGCCCAGGAGTCCAGGAACCAAGGGCCCGTTGCTGATGTTGGCCCCTGGGGCCCACGAGGGCGGTTTGTTTTGCGAGCTTTGGCATGACCTTGAAGAGCCCCTTGCCAAGTCCAAGGGCGGAGAGGTCACTTCCATCGGGAATGATGTGGTTGCCTTGCATAGTGACACTTGTAGGTTGAGCCTTGTCACCAACTCTGCAACTCTTATGCTTGCAAGGACCGCGTCGCTTTGAATTCTTAACGCCCCCTCGCGCTGGGCCCAAAGCGCAAGCGTCGTGGGAAGTTTGGAACTCAACCAATGTTCTGTTCGACAAATGGGAGGTTGACTTGGTGCTGGTTGGCGCTAGCGCTCGCGTTGGAAGTGTCTGTTCTGTGTGGATGGGCAGCCGTGGACATGCGCATGTTGAGGACGAGACAAGAGAGCTTCCCAATCTCTGCGCGTCGCAGGCGCACCTCCACGTCGTCAACGCCAACTCCCCGCATGCACGTGGGCACACTCATCTGGCCCAAAACAAAGTGAACCCACATAATCAACTAATCGTTGTGCTCGTGCAAACTCATTGCGGCCGTTGAGGGAGTCAGGAATATACATATATCTATGTGATCTTGACTTGTGCGCCAAATTGACTGACAATATACCGGTACATATTGACTTCAAATGGGCCAAGGGCGCTGAGGCCACTGCATCACCCTACCCCCGCATCGATAGGGCTAAAGCCACGGGCAACAAGTGCGTTGACAAATTCAGGGCCGTTGTTTCCCCAAGTGGTGCAAGGGGGTGAATGAGCATCTCGCCGAGGTGGTTGTCAGTCTGCGCGAGGCCGCGGCGAAGGGCTCGGGCCCGCTACCTCCTCTTTTCCACCGTCTCCCTTATTGCCGCTAGGCGCGCCGTGCAAAAAAGCGTCGCCTATGCAGGACTCTAGGATGCGCGTTCTGAGACGCGCTGCTGGCCTCCCCCAACAGAGGCGAGCTGGCCGCGGCGAAGATGGGGGGCATCACTGGATGGAAAAAAGTGCGTCTTGTCTCAGGCTCGAGGACGGAGTTGCCTTGTGAACAGTTGGCGCATATATATATATATATATACACATACGTGTGTATTCCACTCTTCTTTGACATAATGCCACCCATCGTCGCAGGTGAAGCTTATCGAGGGCATGCATCAAGACGGAGCTCAATTCCTTGCGAGGCGAATTTAAGATGTCTCCGTGGCCACGGACGGTCATTTTCCAGCCAACGAGTGGGCGTCTCTTGACAGAGCTCTCCGGTTCGGAAGGAAGTTCCCAAGGAACCTTTCTAACGTGCGCAGACCTGCTGGATGGCCGGGGACGGGCGGCGTCGACGCAGGCTGAGATTGCGCAAATTGCCCCGGGTTGTCCTGCTTGTTCGCCACCGCCGAAGCCGCCAAATCCACCGGCCAGCAAGAATTGCTGGCATAGCCCAATGCAAGCAGCGCCGCGGCCGGTGACAAGACCCTCCCTCCGAGGCTGAGGACTGCTCATTGTTCTGCGGCATTCATGGATTGTCGGGAAAGAGCTCGGCGGGCAAAGCGGCGGGCCCGGGTGGCATCGTGCGAGAATTTGGCTTGCTCAGGGGCCCGCTTCGCGGCTCGCCGACCACTTGCCGCTCAAACCCACGCTCCTTCAGAGGAGCCGCTGGGGTTCAAAGGCGGGGATGTCGTCTTTTGCTCCCCAGGGGGAAGGGGGCCGCCAATCTCATGAGCAACAAGAGGAACGCGCTTCTTGGAAGCGCGACTGCCAACCTCCATCGCGTGCGTCGTCGCTCTGCTGCCATGAAGCATGTGCACAGAGCGCTGCTGCAGATGCAGCGCGGAGGGCTCCCTGGCCGAGGATAGGGGTGGGGGGCGTGCTGTTGGCGCGGCAATGTTGGAGTGCAGCTCGTAATGCTCTTTGTCTCCAGGGGGGGGGGGGTTCTTGTTGACTTCCACGCTGCCTTCTACTCTGCCCTCATACGGTTGTGCCTCTCGCTCCCTCCCATTCAGGGCAGGCTCGCAAATGCGCTCCAGCGCGCCGAAATGAATCCCTTCTTCCAAGCGGGGTTGGACGCTGAGATGAGGGCCACTCGACGAAGTGGGCAGGCCCCCTCTTCTCCTCTATCTGAATCGAGAGAGTCAAACGGGTAGCTTTTTGAGAGTGAGGGGAACGTCGGATTTCGCGCGCCCTAGGGGGGGACGCCGCCCCGGCACGACCCCCGCCGCGGATGTCCTCCAATGCCAAGTTTGCCAGAGATGAGGGACGCATCGAGAATGCGGCGATGTCTGAAGAACTGGTTTGGACCCCCCCCCACCTCCAGCAGCCCATTTTGCCTCTGCTGTTGACGCGCCGAAAACCCGCGCACCGGCGCTTTTTTCGCGGGCGATCTCGCGGCTCCCACCAAAGCCAACGCAGCTGAGATCGAAGCCAAACTTGGTCGGCATGGTAAAAGTATTAACACGGTGGCCTTGCGGCGGTTTCAAGATCAACTTCAGAAAAGGCAGTCGCGCCCATGTCGCCCAATGGAAAAGGGTTCCAGAGCGAAGGCGGGAAAGCACTGCAAGGCAGGCGGCAGCTTCTTGGTCGGTGAGTTGTTCGAACTCAAGCAACCCATTGCACGCAGCCACAAAGCGCTAGGAGCCTGAGACAATGACTCGAGGTCCATGGGGGATGGGATAACGCGCGGGATAGGGGCAGCACGGACCGCACTCAAGCAAATCAAGGAGGCGGCGAACCATGCATGCATTTGAAACTCACACACAAACTGAGATACAGTGAAGCACGCGCTGGGTCAAAGTTCCGAATTGTGCGCCAGTACCTGGGACACCGACCCAAGCATCTCAAGCCCAAGGTGATCATTTAACACATGAGCATATTTCGAACATCACATAAGCTTGAAATCACACATCCGAGCGAAGTACAAGCAGCCATGATAGACGCGTTGCTCAAAGCGAGCAGGCTGCCTCTCAACTCAGTGCTCCCAGTTGCGAGGTTGAGACTGGTGCCGAGAATCATGCATGTAGGATCGCAAATGCTGAGGTGATTGCTGGATTTCCAATGGGAAGGCGGACAGGTCAGCATGTTAAGGCATGATTATCAGTGGTTGAAGTACCGTACGGAAGTAGGGACAAACGCTGCCGGACTTAATGATGACGACCTTGAGCTCGAGGGCGAGGCTACCGAAACGTCAAAGCACCCTGAGCAGATCGAACTTTCGGCATCGCCGTCACCGCCAGACCCACCACCTTGGGGATAAGTTTGCTATGGATGTGGCCATGTGGCCAAGACGATACGTCCTATTCGCACACATCGCACCAGGGCACATCAAGGCCTTGATACGCCCGGGGCCATTGCCATGGGGTCGATATGCCAGATTTGATGCTGGGAGTTCTGGAGTGGTAATAAATTCTTGAAGCGCCCCAAGAAAGACCCGTCTTGCTCCCAGGCCCGGCTCAACTCCCCCGTGGGGCCCACGGACGAAGAAATTTCTATTGCCGCCAGCGAAAGACGTGCCAAGGCCAGCGAGATAGACGTCCAGGTGTCTCTGGCACTCGAACCAACATTCCTGCCGAGAGAGTGCAAGGACTGCCTTTTCATACCCCTCGTCAAGAGACCCACAAAGCAGCAGATCATTCCTCCCCTCGCTCCGACCGAATGGGTTAAGGACAATGTGTGCCAGCTTTCCGAAACAGTCCAGATGAAGTCTCAAGCCAACATGGTTTATCTAGGCAGTGAGTGGGAAGAAGGCCCCCTTTCACAGACGCGCCTGCGAAAAGCGCTGGCCCTCTCGTTCCGTTGTCCCGGCCTTCCCTAACCATCAAAGGCTTGAGGATTGGGGGAAATGGACTTCTGAAGGCAATGCGGCGGATCTTTTTTTGAACATCCTTGCAGCACGTGGAGCGATGAATTGTCCACACGCAGCGGCCACTGGCGGGGCCATCCACGAAATAGTGCCAATTTGGCTGATCGCGCCATCCAAGACAACACGTCCCTCCAGGCCGCCATTGCTTAGTACTTCCCTTGCTGTGCGCTGGAAGTGTCAGTTGCTCTTGCGCTACCAAGAAAAGCCGATGGTGGACCTGATTTGTTGCAGATGTCTGTAGTGGAGGACTTGTCCAGGTTGCCAGGGTTCCTTTGGACCGATTTTGATGGTTGTGTTCCTGGGGCCAGGCACCTGAATCCCTGCACTCTGTTCGTCCATGGGATTGCATCCATGGACGCCGTTCGTGCGGATGTGATTCGCGGGCTGTGTCCGCATACTTGTACCCACAGGCCACCGGAGCTGTTGGGCGATGGCTCTGCCTTGGTTGGACTGATCTCGGCCTTGCTCGCCGAAGGCGTGACGGCCAGGCCTGACTCGTCGACACTTGTGTCGCCCTCGTCACCCCTCCCCCTCTGCGCACAAGCTCGTCAGGGGGTTCTGTCTTCGCCCTTCTCTTTCCCATTAAGTATGGGCTTCGAGCCTACCAGGCCCTCAGTTAGAAAGCGAGCGAGCGAAGAGGAGGAGGAGGACGGAGGAGGAGGAGGTTGAGCCGCAGGAGGAGCAGGAGGAGGACGGAGGAGGAGGAGGAGGAGCAGCAGGAGGAGGAGGAGGAGCAGGAGGAGGAGGAAGAGGGGGGAGGACGGAGGAAGAGGAGGAAGAGGAGGGCGAGCCCGAGGGCCAGCAGAAGGAGGATAACGAGGGAGAAGACAGGCAATGAAGGTAGAGCGCGCGCAGGAAGAGAAAGATGAGTAAGAGGGGAGGAATGAGGAGGACGGGTAAGACGAGGGGGGGGGGACAGTGAGAAGCACGGGGGGGAGGAGAAGGAGGGACAATAAAGAGGAGAGGGCGGAAGAGACGAGGTCTGGGAATGGCCATTGTGCTCGCCCCCGGCCAACGACCAACATGGTCGTGATCGCCTCCCCTGCGACCTATCAAGTTGCGTCGGCCCTGACTTCTCATCGCATTTCCCTGCCATCTGCCCTCCTCGTTTTGCGCACGTAATTCGTGCCGTCCCGTGACCGATTTCCCTACGGTTGCCCCCCTCTTCCCTCTCGCCCTCTTCGCCCTCCTCCCTCCTCCCCCTCCTCCACTTCTCCCTCCTCCCCGTTCGCGAGCATGCGCACCTTGAGCACGTCTCTGCGACTACGCTGCGCCACGCGCGAGCCGATGCCGAAAGAGCTTGAGGCGTGCGGCAGAGATTGCGGGAGGAGCGGGACCGAGTTGGAAAGACCCCGCGGTTCCTCTTCAAGGAGAAGGGGGTAGCAGGAACAGAACAGAGGAGCCATGGAGCAGGACGAGGTGGACGAGGGAAAACAACAACAGGACGAGGAGGCGGAGGAGGAGGAGGAGGAGGAGGAAACACGGGCCGATGAGGCACCCCTTTTTACAGGGGGGAGGGCACGGCAGACCCTCCCGCTCCCCCTCCGCCCTCCTCCCCCCCGGGGCGGCTCCGTCCTGCTTCCGCCTGGCGGAGGCCCCCAGGTCGCCCGCGCTCGACGCCGGCCGCGCGACCACGGCCGTCGTCCACGAGGTGCTGCCCTTCTCCTGGCCGCCGCCGCCGTCAAGCGCCGCCGCCGCCGCCAACCGCCGCCGCCGCCGTCGTCTGCGGCCGTCATCTGTGGTCGTCGTGCTCGCCGTCGTCGTCGTCGTGGTCGTCGTCGTCGTCGTCGTCGTCGTCGTCGTCGTGGTCGTGGTCGTCGTGGTCGTCGTGATCGTCGTGGTCGTCGTAGTCGTCGTCGTCGTCGCCGTCGCCGTCAATGCCGCCGACGCCGTCGTCATCGATTGCGCTTTCTCCTGCAGTTCACGGCCGCACGTTGCTCGAACAAGTGGCCACGATGAAGCCAGAGAGGTGCCCAGACCAGTGTGGGCTCTCATCGCCTTTGTCGTCGCAGACGAGGTCGCCTTCGTCGTCGTCGTCGTCGCCGCTCTTTCGTGGGCCTCCTGGGGCGCCCTCGGGGTCACGGCTGGGTCTGCCCAGGAATTGTGGTCAGAACGCCAAGAGGAGGTTGGGGAGGAGAAGGAGCAGGATGTCTCTGCTCATGCGTTTGCTCAAGCTGCTGTCCCTCGCGCATCTCGCGTTTTTCCTCCCGCGTCTGCTGCGGGCTCCTCCTTTTGCTCCTCCTGCCAATTGTATCGCACCGCCTGGCGCTCCTGGCGGCTGCAGGCCGCAGGCCAGATCTGATATCCGCTCGGCCTCTTGCTCAAGTCACGCGGCATGGGCCTCCGAATGCCGATGGCCCACGCTGGTTCTGTTTCTGTTCTTCCTGGCACCTTCCGTTCGCTCTTACTCTCCTTCCGTCACTTCTCCCTCCGCACCCCTACTCCTCTGCCCTCCTGATCCCTCCTCCTATCTCCAGGTGTGCATCCTCATTATTCTACTGATGCTGCTCATCACAATGCTACCCTCATCCTCCACTGCTGCTGCTGCTGCTGCTCATGTTCCTCCTCTTCGTCCTCCTCCTCCGACTCCTGCCCATTTGTCCTCATCCTGGTCGCTCCTGCTCCCATGTGCTCCTCAATCCTCCTCGTCACCCCTTTCCTTCAACGCCATACAATCGCTTCTGCTTTATCAGATGCATCAAAATCAAATGCTGTTCGTTGACCTATTCGTCCTACTGTTCCTCTTTGTCAACATCATGGCCAAACGCATTGCCATCATCATTGGTTCTCCCGTTCCCCGCGTTTTGTGGTGTTCCTCCCGTTGCGGTTCATCTTTGATACACCCGATCGTTATTCTGCGCTGGCCGCGTGGCCTCTCTGCGGCACCGAGCTGTGCTCACTGCTCCTCCACATCGTCCTCCCTCCTCATCATCATCAGGATAGTCACCATGATGAGGCACAGCACTCATCATCCCCATTATCATCCTCATTCGCATCACCATCACCATGCTCGCCGTCATCATTATCCCATCCGCCCTGCTGCTCGCCCTCCTCCTTGCGGACATCATGCTGCTTCTGCGCATTATTGCTCTCCGCCCACTGCTCTGCCGCTTCCTCCCATTCCCCCCGCACCATCGCCACCATCATCATCACCGCCGTGTTCCTGCTCTTCCTCCCGAACGTCATCATCCTGCTTCTACGCCTGCTGCTGCTCCTCCTCTTCATCACCCTCCGCCTCCTCTTGCTCGGCGTCATTGTCGCCGTCGTCGGGCGACGGCATTGCGAATTGCCCAGATGCCAGAGGCGGGGAAAAAGGAAAGAGGAGCGGCCGCAAGAGGAAGAGGGGGCGAGTACGCTCACGTAGCGGGGGCCGCGGCGGGGCGCCCGGGGCGGCAAAGCAGGTGCAGCACCCCTGGCAGCGGGCACGGGCCGGCGTCGCAACCACAGGCTGGGCAGCGGCTGGAGTGCGGGTCCTCGCGAACCAGCAGGTGGACAAAGAGAAGGGGACGGCCGAGGCAGCAGCCGACGGAGGTCACGGGAGGCAAAAGGCAGGGCGACCAGGTAAGCGGCTGCAGGGCGGGCTGCGCTGGAGCAGGCGCCAGTGGCGGAACAAAAGGGCGACGGGACGGCCCTTCGGGGGGGGCGACACAGCTGGTGGCGGAAGACGGAGCGCGTTCGCAGCGCAAGCCAAAACTGCGGGCACGAGAAAAAGACGGCGGCGGGCCGACACCGGCCCGAAGGCAGAGGAAGGGCGACGAAGAGGCCCGGGCGGCAGCAAGGAAGGCCGCGGCGGCGCGGAGGAGCACGCGCAGACCCGCAAACGGGCGGAGAACAGCGGGGGGAGAAGGGTAGCAGTGCCAGGCCAAGGCTGGTGCATGCATGCGTCACAGCCTGGGGGCAGACGGCGACCCCCCCAAGCGGGGGCAGGGCAGCCAGGAGGCAAGGGCAAGAGATGAAAGCGAGGGCCAGACAGGGGCGAGCACACAGATTAACGAGAACGGAGGGGGGGGATGAGGGCAGCGGGCCAGGAAGGGGGATGGGGCAGCAGTTATGGGGGACGGGGACGGCAACGAGTCTCCATCGACTCCTCCCTCTTATTATTTCTCATCCTCATCCCCATGTTCGGCTCCTCCTCCGCTTCTGTTCCTCCTCCTCCTCCTCCTCCTCCTCTTCCTCGTCCTCTTCATGCTCCATCTCTTCCTGCACCCCGTCCTTCTCCTCCTGCTGCTGCTCCTGCGGCTCCTCCTCCTCCTCCTTCTCCGTGTCTTCCTCGTCCTCCTGCTCCTCCACAGCCCCTTCACTTTTCTCCACAGCGCGAAGCCCGAGCAATCGGCACCCTCCGAAGTCGGACACGGCTGCCCCCCCGACCCTGAACAGCTTGCAGCGAGTTGTTCCCAAACGCCCTGGAATGCAGAGGCAGCGACGGAGGAGGAGGACAAGAGTGAACACGATGCATCAACGATGCTACCATACAATATTTCGGAAGAGGACACGCAGGAGAAGGAGGATGGTGAGATGGAGAAGAAGGGCGAGGAGGTTTGGAAGGGGGATGACGAGGATAATAATAATGAGCAGGATGAGGACATGAGACGGGGTAGGGAGGTAGGGCCTATAATCAACGACACTGCAATCTATCCTTCAGTGCAAAGCCGATCCCTAACAAGTCCCTACAAGCATTCGTATGTTGTAGGGAAAGCGCCCCCTTGAAAGATGGGCCACCTGTGGGTCTATCATTTAGGCGTCTGCCCTGTTACGAACGGGAATCGGCCTCTATACTGCAAAAACTTCCAAAGAAATACCAACAGGCAGGTCCGCAAGGGAATGTCCAGACAAAACCCAATCTTGAAAAGTACCCCTGGACCCGTCCGTGCAACTGGGGCGCGACCGCACAATGATAATCGCATCGCAAAGGAATGCCCAAATCGGAAGAAGAGCCCCCCTCTAGCCGTGACACCTACGCGCAGCTACAACCTTCTCGCGTGAGAGTCCGACAGGTCTTACGCGAGATCCTCTTTTTTGAGAAAAACGCCCACAGCCCGAATCCATGCTCGACACTATTCGCAATTATGTGCGCGGTGCTACAGCGAACAACATTCTGAAAGCCACCCACCTTTTGACCGTGGAGCTCTTCGAAACTTTTCGGGCGAACGTGCAGAACGCCTGGAAAAATAAGAGCAAGACGACCAGTACATACGTTCAATATGGACAAATATAGGGAGATCAAAAAACTGAGACTGTGTGAGAGAGAGAGAGAGAGACATAGAGAGAGGTAACCGAGGAAAAAACGGCACAACTAAAACCAACAAGAAGAGAATATACGTAACCGGGAAAACAACGGCATACTCACATCAAGAATGGGAGATCCGCGTGGACTGTCTCGGATAGGCGCTGGACCCCCCTCCCTGGCTCGCCGAGCCCGCCACAGGCAGCGCTGGAGGCGCCGCCAGGCGGCCCCGGCCCAGAGCCGATTCAAGAGCATCCGACCGGACGTCCAAAAGTTTGCATACACACCAGTCGGAACAAGTAGATAGAAGCATGAAGTAGGAAGGCGGAGAAAATAGATTGGATTCAAGCCGGGCCCGCCCAAGGAATAACAAGCAACAGCCAAACCGCATCGATTCCTGAAGCGGGAAGGCTGCGTTCTGGGAGTCCAGGAATACCTACTTTCAACAACCGATGGGTATCGAAACGCTGGGGCCTGAGACCCAAATGTCGGGAGCGGCCAAGAGGGGGGGGTCCAAGAGGGGGGGGGGTGCAAATCATGACCGGCGGCATGTGCGCGGCCCAGCGGGGGCGCCTGGGACGTAATGAAATACGAAGAGCCGCCATGAAATCTGAGGAAAAAGTATGGCCCGCGCCATGAAATCCACACCCCCCTCGTTATCACCCCCCTCCTTTTCCGCTCCCGAGCATGCGAAGTCAGGTTCCGCACCCGGGAAACCGCTTCGTCTTTCGCGCGCGGCGCGCGCCGGGGCGAGGCGCGAGGCGAGGCTGCTCGAATACACTCGTCCCCTGGCGGAGGGCCGGAGCGTAGAGCCCCCCAAAAAGGGGCGCCCGCCCCGCTCCCGGCCGTGGCGGCGAAGCTGTCCCCAGTCGTGCCCCGATGGTTGCCGCGATGTCCACCAGCCTCGAACGTATCCCCATCCCTAAAGATGGACAAGCCAAAAGGCGATGACAACCTTAGGGACTCGCCCTGAAAAAATAAGGGAATCCCTAAGATTGGCATCGTGATGAGGAGGTGCCCAGCATAGGGATAGGGATATGTTCCAGGCTGGTAAGATGTGTGTGTGTTCCTACCAGAAGAAACAAAAGCATACAGTTGAACTTTTGGCGCTCCGCACGGGTTTCTTGGATCTGCGCTGGACCCCCCTCCCGGGCGCGCGGAGCGCGCCAGGGGCTGCACCGGAGCCGCCGCCGGGGGGCCACAACGCGGACCCAAGAAATCCGCGCGGAGCGCCAAAAACTGATGTTTATTGCGTTTTTTCTTCTTCGATTTCCGATGGTTGTCCCGATGCTTGTCCCGATGGTTATGCCGATTGTTTCTTCGAGGGCCGTCTTGAGCGATGTGCCGATGGCTGTCCCGAGGGTTCTGCGAGCGGCGTCCCGATGGTCATCCCGAAGGGTTCTGCCAGGCGATGGTGCCAAATGCATGCGCTGTGCGAGGC